GGGAAGATCAGAGATAGGAGCAGAGAGAGAGAGAGAGAGAGAGAGAGAGAGAGAGAGAGAGAGAGAGAGAGAGACAGACAGACACCTGGGCTACAGGCAGGAAGGAAGATTTGCCTGCCTCAGTGGTGGATGGGGGAGAGAGTGGGCAGGCCTTGTCTCTTAAAGGGACAGGACAGACAATTACATACACTATACTACAATTTCTTAGTCTTACTGTTTTCCTGGGTTCTATATAAAAGCAGGTTGAGCAAGCAATGAGGATCAAACCAGTAAGTAGTATCTTCCCCATGGCCTTTACATCAGCTCCTGCCTCCAGATTCTTATTCTGTTTGAATTCCTGTCCTGATTACCTTTAATGATGAACTGTGGTGTGAAAGTGTTATCAAAATAAACGCTTTCCTCCCCCCCCCAAAAAAAAGATTATGGCATGTATGCATGTCAAGTGCATTCCTCGTCGCCCTAGTAGCTTCATGTGGTGGTTGGAAGGAAAGTATGTGCCGGGCTTTTTGCCCTTTTCCAATGGAAGTTTTTGTCATGGTTCATGGAAAAACACTACTTTGACAATAAAATTGGGGGAATCTCATAACAGGATGTAAAAATGAGCCTGTTTATGTTACAGTTAATGAGTCATTCCAATGTAATAATTGGAAAAATGAGTGAAGCCTGCAAACATTTGACATTTTAAGTAGCTCAAAATTAGTAACTATAAAATTTTTAATGCATAATTATTTAATAGTGATGGGATTGATGTAGAAGGGTTTTAAATCACAAAAGAAAAAAATGGCATAATATGTACCATATCTATAGCTCTAATTGCTTTTTGTTTAAAAAGTAAAATTTTTCTCATTAGCAGTTGTTTGGAATAAGACATTATGTGCTTCGAAACCACAAACCACATATTTGTTTCCATGACCACCCTCCCAACTGGCAATTATGGTGCTTAAAAATGGGATCATAGGTTGATATTAGTCTAGAAGTAATATAAATACATAAATTCACTTGTCTTCCTAAAGTACGTTTGTTGTGTAATTGCCAGACAAGCTATTATTTTATTACTTGACTTAGCAGTTGCAACCTACAGAGACTGATCTTGAATGTCCTCTGAATAATGGCTCTACTGATGAACTCCTAAGAACTGGTCCTGAGCCAAGGGTTGGTAGGTTACTGGGTGAAGTGGGCAAACATTTGAGTCTCTTGGCTCATGACAGATGTTCTCCCATCTTCCTGTTAGTATAAACCAATACCTACCAGGATAATAGAGGGAGTCCTGAAGAATTTGGGAAAATTAAATTTTTAGGCTAACATCTTTGCTTTAAATATCACATATTGATGTATATGCACACATATATGTATAGACAAATATAGACATATGCACATGTATACAAGCACACACATGCATAAGGTCCTTAAGACTTGTCATTTAAAATCTGTTGATTATCAGGAGACAAGAGAAATAAAAGACATTAATTTAAAAACAATCTTTAAGAGACTTGAGTTGCTGAGATAAAATTACCAAGTGTGTGTGTTGAAAGGCATTTAGGAATGGATTAAGGATTGGGGATTTCAGGACGTACCTATAGGGGATACATTTTGAATTAAGTGGTGTTAAGACACAGAAGCAAGTTGTGTTTCACTTGTTGTACATACCACCGTCATCTCTAATATGGTTATAAAACAGTGTGTGAAGACAGATCTCTTACCATGATGTGAACACTGTCCAACACATATATATGTAAATATCATACTCTACCCCATGAACATGTACCATTTCCTCGTCATAAAAAAAAAACCATCACCACTGACTTGGTTAGTGTTAGCGTCAACTAGACTCAGTCTAGAATCATGTGGAAAGAGTTTTCACTGAGTAATTGTCCTTATCAGGTTGGTCTGTGCGCATCTCTACGAGGGATTGTCTTGATTATTGATTGGTATAGGAGGGCCCAGCCTGCTATGAGTGACCCATTCTATGGGTAGGTTGTCATGGGCGGATTAAGAAAGGTTGAGCCTGAGCAAGGCAGCAAATAGTGTTCCTCTATAGTAACTGCCTGCCAGTTCCTGTTTGAGTGTCTGCTCTGACTTCCCTAGGTGATGGACTGGGAACCGGAAGTATAAGCCAAACAAACCCCTTCCTCCCCTAAGTTTCTTTTGGTCAGAGTGTTGTATCACAGCAACAGAAAGGAAACCAGAACAACACCCAACAGCCAAACAAGAAACAGTGTGTAGGGTTAAAATATAACAAAATAAGTTAAGTAAGGTGGTGTTCAGCTGAGGCAGGAGGATTGCAAGCTTGATATCAGCCTTGGCCAGATAGTAACTTCAAAGTTCAAGGTCAGCTTGGGCAATATGACTCTAGTTCAAAGGAACGAAAATAGAGAGAACATAAAATGAAGATGGGTTGGCCATGGGAGTCTGGGATGAGTTGGAAGTGGCAGTTGGAGTACCTATGATCAAAGACGCTCTTTGTATACATGTATGAAATTCTCAGAGAAGAAATAAAAAAAAAATTACAGTAAAAAGCCCAAGGGCAATCAAGCGTAATAAAACTTTAACAGAATGTCTTTGGAGATCCTGTTTATATATATATATATATATATCTACCCTGAACATAGATAACTCTATTCGTCTGTTATAAGTTCAAACTCCATTGTTTTGTAAGGCATGGTATGATTACCCTGATATTTGACTCAACTTTCTATCAGCCCCTAAATTCTAGCTTTTGTCTAAGTGACAGAGGGTGAAAGAAGAATGCCAGGAGAGGTTCTGGCTTTACAGCCACGGGACAGGTTGAAGCATAATGTAGCTATCAAAGACTGTGCAGTGGAGTGAGGCTGGTACCCAGGGCAGGGCATCGCACACAAAGTTCAGCATTTGCCACATCGTTCAGTTTTATCGCTCAATTTGGGCTGATTTTAAACAGGAAGAGTCTATCTCCGAGGCAGAAAGCTGCATGGCTGCTCACTGATCCTCATAGTTCAGGATTTATAATTCATATTTACATTTGCCATGTTTTAGATGTTTAGAACTTAATTAAAAGAACATGGCTAAAATAAAAGCAATTCTGTCTAAATTGGCGGCGAGGGAATTCTGTGTGAGGTTATAAAGCTGCTCAATTAGGTGCCTTTGTGGCACAGCGTGTATGATTCCAGGCTTGTTTGAACTGTTGTGCTTCGGTGTGTAGACTATCGTACCGCCCTGTTAACTTGACACACATCTAAGATGTCATGATTGCTACCCCTCGAGTATCTTGAGATATATAATCTTTTTTTAAACTGCTACCACTAAACAATGAAATAAACAAACCGTAAATGATAACAACAACAACCCAGATAATTCAGAAAAAGAGTTTAAGGAAGCAAACACCAAAGATAATTCTTGGTTTTCTAAATTAATGACATCCTTTATCACAAAATGGAACAAGGAAACATAAACAATTTCCTAATCAAATATGTCATCTATTGAAGAGAGGGGAAAGAAGTGGGCTCATAAAAATGGGGTGTAGGATATTAAGGTAAAGTAAAATTATATTCATAATGATTTGTTCTGCTTAATATGTAAAAATTAAATCAAATTCTTTTTTTAAAAACTGGTTCCCCTTGTGAATGACTATATTTGTTTTGGAGGGAAGACTTGTCATGTGCTTTTCTGTGGAATGGCGTTTTCTTAGATAAATGTGTATAATTGTAGCATAAACCAGATTAGTGAGAAGACCATGGATGTGTATCATTAATCACCAGAACATTCTCCAGAGACGAAGCCAGGAAGTTCTCTGTTCCTCTGAGTTAGCAAAACTGAACCTCCTGTGATCATGTTCCTCTTTCATTTTCCTGGATATAAGGGCGATCTGGCTGTGGCATCTGTCATGTTTAGCCATTGCCAGGAGTGACTTGGCTGATCTGGCCAGTGTGGCAGCTGTCCCCTCTTCCTTCCTTCTGCCCTCCCCCCAGCAACCCCATTTTATCCATTCCTTGTAAGGCAATATTTTAAAATATTACACATTATAGTCTTTTTAGGTAGGCCTGATAAAACATGTCCACATATTTAATCAATGTTAAAGTGTTCAGTTTTAGAGAAGAACAGGTCTTGCTTTACGGTAGTCTCACTGCAGTGAGGTTGTTTCGATGTGTAGACCAAAATCAGCAGTCTGTGTGCTGTGCAGGAGTCTCGTGTCTTCCTGCTCTTGCCTGTGCTTACGGCTCTTTCTTCCTCAAAACCCAGCTGTTAGCCTGTGTCCTCCACCCTCCCTCTTTCACTCCTCACCTCTGCTGTCTTTGCTTTGGTAAGCCCCCATATGATCTCCCCAAATACTTCTGGAAAATTTCATAAATGTCATTTGACCTTTTATTATTGGGGAAGGGGACACACATGCCGCAACATGAGTTTGGAGGTCAGAGGCCATTTCGGGGGGGGGGGAGGGTTGGTTCTCTCTTCCTAATTTTAAGTGAGCTCTGTGGATGATCGTTTTAGGAGGGCAGGCTTGCACAGAAGTGCCTTTACCAGCCCAGCCATCTTACTGGTCTCTAGAAAACTTCTCTTCCTGTATGTATAATTGTATGTGTGAGCATGTGTGTGTATGTGTATGTATGGGTATGCATGTGTGAAAATGTGTATGTATGGGTATGCATGTGTGAAAATTTTGCATGTTGTGGGTGCACTATTTATGTTTGCCCTTGGAGGCTGATTATGAAACTCATCCTCCATTGCTCTTCTGCCATATTCCTTGCGGCAGGGTGTCTAAATCAACAGAGATCGTTGGTATGGTTAGTCTCGGTAGTCAGGGTGCCGGAGATCTCTGTCTCCACCTTCTGAGGCTGCAATTAGAGGCAGGCTGCTATGCCCACCTGGCATTTACGTGGGTTCCTGGGTATATAAACTTCGTCCCTAGGTTTATGTGTCAAGGACTTAGCCACTGAGGAATCTCCTCAGCCCCGGAAATCTTTTTAAAGCCAATTACACTCCTTCCTTTGTAGGGTTTTCCCTGAGCAAACTGCCTCAACTGTCATCAATCCCGGGCAGGAATCCGTTCTCGGGAGTGCTTGTCTGATCCGAGCAGGAAAGCTGGTACTGAAGAAACTGTAAACCCTCTGAGAAGTGAAGGTGTTACTTGGGTAATGGCTGTACACACACCTTCTGGTATGGTACCTGGGCTGGAGAGAGTGCTCGGCCAATGTGGGAGAAAGCCCACGCATGGCTCGTGTTCTGTTTTCTAGCTGAAATATTAGTGTCATAGATAAATCAGAAGGACATCTGTTATTTAAATGATTAAGAAATCCATTTATATTTGGTGGGCTCCTCCTCCCTTTTAGCTAACCTTTTAAAGCTTTGTCATTCTGTTTTCCTCTATTGTATTTCATTTTGTTAGTGTCATTTCACGCTGTAGTAATGTTAGGATATTCCCCTGGCTGACATACTGTTTTCTCTCTCTTCTCCTCCTCCTTTATTTTTTTTCTAAAAAGCAAAAGCAACTGTAGTTTGTTAGGCTACTGGCTCGGATCATTTTGATTAAGACTCTCAGAGGAAAGGTCAAAACACCACACACACACTCTCTCTCTCAAACACACATACACAAACACACAAACACACACACACAGAGATGGGGGGAGAGAGAGAGAGAGAGAGAGAGAGAGAGAGAGAGAGAGAGAGAGCGAGCATAAACTGACTGCTGAATAGCTACTTCCATCCTGTGTCTGTCCACCTTGGTAACAGCCCCTGGAGGCAGTCTGTAAGTTAGAAGTTGCGCACAAGGACCTTCTGCTTCCCAGGGAGACATCTTCAGCTCCTTTATCTACTTTAATTTCAATTCCTCTTTACAAAAATTTACTTTCCCTTTTCTTTTAATTTTTTTTTTATATTTGTTAACTTGCTTATTTATTTATTTTTGTGACAAGGTCTCTCAGTGTAGCCCCGGCTGGCCTGATACTTCTTATTCAGCCCAGGGTGGCCTACAACTTACAGTCGTCCTTTTGTCTCAGTTTCTCCTGAGTGCCAATGATACAGACACGTGACAACATCCCCATTCTTTTTGATGCTTTTCTTTTTGTTTGTTTGTTTGAAAATTCTCCTCATATACAGAGAGTAGGGGCAAAAAACAAGCAACAGCGACGATTCAAAAACCAAAGCCACCAACCCCTTCTTCACTTTCCCCCTTCCTCACGGACCTCGTCCAGAATGAACCAGCAGCTTCCCTGATCTTATTTTTACAGAAAAAGTAAACATGATGTTTCTTGTTGCCCGGAGCAGGCTTTGCCAGCATTGATGCATTCTTAACTTTTAATTTCCTCTTTTAATTGCACAATGCTCATTTTTAAAAATAATGATGTTCTTATAAAACTGTACCACATCTTTTCAGATTCCGTTCATGCTTCTTCCTTCTCAGGGTACACGTTTGTGATTTTTATTGCCAGAGTTGTAGAGTTCGTAGCTAACCACGAGTGTTGACGTATGTTGTCATTAACAATGACAGCTATTCCTTTTGCGTTAGGCTCTGTGGACTCTAAGGTGGTGGAGTGTGGACTCCTCTTTTCCTTTCCTTCCCACACAGGCCTGTGAGACAGGTGATGACCCCTTTACACACTAGGAAACTGAGACTTGGAAGGTTACAGAGCTGATACGTGACCTCAAACCCTCTGGCTTCACTCCCATCCCCTGGGAGCAAGTTCATCATCTTGTCCAGGAACCCTGCAAATATCCTCTTCTGAGTGTTACAGCATACTCGTGCCTTTTCTCAGGGCTTCCTTTTAGGCATGGTGAAAGCATGCCTAATAAAACTCAGAGACAGGTATTGGGGTTCAACCTGAAGACCAGAAAAGCAAAGGAGCCAGCCACTGACTCTTACCTCAACCTCAGTCCGAAAATGGTGATCCTGCCTCCCAGAAAGCTCAGAATGAAACTTAGACTGAGAGCTGTCTCCTCCCATTTTATATTCTTCTCTAGTTCTGGGATTAAGGGTGTGCACAACTACCGCCTGGTTTCTATGGCAAGCTAGTGTGGCTACTGGGATTAAAGGTATGTGCCGTTGCTGCCTGGTCTGTAAGGCTGGCCAGTGTGGTTGTTTTACTTTTCTGATCTTCAGGCAAGCTTTATTTATTAAAATACAAATGCAATGCCACTATAGCTTGGCCCATTGCTCCTGTTTTAAATACATATTTTAGGAGCTGCAGAGATGACTCAGCAGTGAAGAGCATCTGTTTCTCTTCTGGAGCTTGGTTCCCAGCACCCATGTGGGGTGGACTGCAAATACCTGTAACTCCAGACAAGCTGATGCCTTTCTACTGGCATCCCAAGGCCCTACACTAACATGCACATACTCCCTCTCCCCACACCAAAATACAGACAGACAGACATACACACACACACATACAGCCCTATGGGCACAAACATTAACATACACACACACGCACGCAAACCTACAGGCACACATACACACACACACAAACCTACAGGTACACACACATATACATACAGGCACACACACATTCACATAAACAAAATAAATATTAAAATATGTATTTTGATTTTAAATTGATGCATAATAACTAATGTGTTTCTGGTGCTGCAGCATGACATGTTTGATGCATGTATACAATGCATAAGATGAACCTAACTGGGATATCACCTGACATACGAACCATTTCTCTGTATTACGAAGTTACAAAATTTTCCCTACGAGCTAGTTTGAAGTAGTCAATTAGTTGCTATCTATTACAATTATATCCTGGGGATTGTTAGTTATTGGTTTTTCACCGATTTAAAGAAATGCATGACAAAAGCCGCTCTGGGGGCGAGGGTTTATTCTGGCTCACCATCTCAGAGCAAAGATGGCGTAGCAGCGCTCATGGCAACGGGAGCAGTTAGCAGAGCCTCTCGTGTCTTTGTGGACAGAAAGCATAGAACTGGCCTTGAACTGGAAGTGGGCTATATCTTCAAAGGTGAACTACTTCTTCTGGCTAGCTCACAGTCCCAATGCTTCCATGGCCTCCCCAAACAGCATTACAGCTGGGGACCAAACGTTCAGATCCGTGAGCCCGAGGTAGGATGCAGGGCACACCACGTTCAAACCTTAGTGTGTCCTGTTGGACAAAATGATTCCTCTATCAGGTATATCCATCCATCACTGTCCCCTGTACTCTGCCCTCTCACGCTCTGGTAACCACGAATACAGTGTCTCCTTTAATAAGATCAACGTTTCAGTTTGCACATGTGAGCAAGACATGGTATTTGTCTTTCTGTGGTGTGATAAATTCTAAGACGATTCTTCTGTTGCCTTCCCAAAATCCTGCCACTTGTATTTTAACAGGAAACTTTCTCACTGCTTAGAGAGAAACAGTAGGCTACAGGTAAGCAATAATACAATTTTATCCTTTAAAATTTGTTTTCTTCACACTGTCTTGCTTCCTGTTACTGAAGATCCATATATTCCCTCTATAGTTCTGGTCAACACCTCCTAGAACAGCATAGACAAGGTTAAAACTGCCCAAGGCACGAAGACAAGCTGGCTCCTTCCTGCAGTTGTGTACTGCCTGGCTGAGCGCTCTGCTGGCTTCGTTGCTTTCTTCCATCCAAACCTCTCTCCTCCCCGCTGTGAGAGGCACACTCCTTATGGCTGCGCTGTGCCTCTTCTAGCACTGCCGTGACAAAATATAACAGCTTACGTGCCTAAAGTAATAGCAATTCGTGCTTTCCACACTTCCAAAGTCCAGGATCAAGGGCAGGGGCCAGGGTTGGCTTATGGTGGATCTTTTCTTTCTGTCTTGTGATGACTGCCTTCTCCCAGTGTCCTCAAGAACATGGTAGTATGTTTGAATTTTTATGTGAGTGTGAGAATATATATATATGAGTGTGTGTGTGTGTGAGAGAGAGAGATAGAGAGAGAAAGAGAGAGAGATTGAGAGAGAGAGAGAGAGAGAGAGAGAGAGAGAGAGAGAGAGAGAGAGAGAGAGAGAGATTTGTCTTTTCCTATTCTTAGCTGAACATTAGTCCTGTTGGTTTAGGACATCGTTTAACTCTAATTACCTCTTGCATTTCCCCCTTTCTAAATACTGACACATTGGCAATTAGGGTTCCACAAATACATTTTGGGGGGATATATTTCAGTCCATGGTTGAATCCTGCACCTGCCTACATAAAGTGTCTGTTCTCTTCATCTGAAGAGAGATTTCTCAAGTTCAACAGCATATATTTCTTTTACACAGTGAGGCTTTTTTGACACATTGAAAAATGAACAGAGACACCCTCTGTTCAGATGGGCCCCTCTTTAGTGGCACTGCTGATATCACTCCTAGTGTGCCCTTCTATTGACCGGTGGGTTCACTACTGCCCTGTCCTTTTCTTTTTATCAGCACCTTGTACTCTCCTCCCAGGACCCACCGATACCCATAGGAAATGTGCACATTAATGAAACAAAAATTCCTTCCTATAAACTCACAACAGTTCCATATCTTAGAAGGAAGCCATTTCCCTTGCGTACATCACTGTATTTCCAACATTCCTTCCGATCTTCTCAGGTATCCAGAGGGTGGTAATTTATTTTCCTTTGTCAAAATCACCTCTGTATTTAGCACCATTATTCCCTTAGCCACTACCTCAAGTATTATTTTTAACCCCTTTCAATTACGCTCCTCTTTACGCTGCGGAGCTCCAGTGCTGGGGTGATGCACTGAGTGTGTTGTGTTTAGCACCCCTCCACTAAAGTGGATTGCCTGATTTGTTTTTCCAGGTCCTGTTCCTGAATCACACAGCACAAGGCTCTCTCTCCATCTCCATAGGATCTCTCCATATCTAACCACAAACAAAGAAAAGCACCAACCTACTACCGTTAAGTTTTCATTTATATTTTATTAGCTATTTGATACTTTTGTTCAACATTCTACTCATTTCCTCTTCCAACTCCTCCCAGATCTACCACCCCCTTTCCTAACGATCCAACTTTGAGCTCCCCCCCCCCATTTTTTTTTAAATACTCCTAAGGTCCAATTTGTGCTTTTCATATACTCTTGGATGTATGTCCACCAACCGGAGTGTGATGGGCCTACCTGAGGCTCCACATTTAAAGAAAAAGGACTCTTATCCCTCCCAGCAACTATCAGTTGCCAACAGCTCCTCATCTAGGGGTGGGCTTTGGTGCCACTGGCCTGCCTCCGTGCTGGACTTTTGTCCGACTTGGGCTGGCACGTGTCTTGTGCCTGCTGTCACACTGTCTGTGAGTTCACATGCATGAGTTTCCTGCTCTGTCAGGAAAATACTGCTTCCTTGTCACCAACCACATCTGGCTCTTAAAATCTTCCTGTCCATTCTGAATTGGTCCTTGAGGAACGGGAGGTGTGATATACATGCCCCACTTAGGGCCGTCTGAAGTCTCCTGTTTTCTGCACCTTGACCAGTTGTGGGCCCTTGTAATTTTGCTTTTTTAAATCAATTTAAAACTTGTCTAGGCTTAAATTTGTCAACTGTCTTCTGAGTGGGGGGAGCCAGGACAGCTGTTCGCCATCTATTATTTCACTCCATGTAAACACAGCATCTGTTCCTGCCCAGTCTTTCCTCCTCTGTGTGTTCCTTTCCTGTCCTGTGAATTTCCCTTTGGTTAAATAAGCTGGCGGCGGCGGGGGGGGGGGGGGTCATTTAGTAACTCATCAGATGCACGTGCTCTTCCTCAAACATTTCTCTATTTTGAGCCAGTTGGCTGTTCGTTGATTGATTTTTGAACACTCTCCGTCTACCCGTGTCATCTCCAGTAGTTCACACCTCCCTTGGGAGTCCTGTAAATTCTCTAAAATTGCAACAGCTTAAGCCATTTACAAATGTCAATGTCACGAACTGTTCAATGTCGTTCTCTTACTTTGTCTTGCAAGTCTTGCAAGAATCAGGGCTTCCTCCTCCTCTGGAAGAAGAAATTTAAAGGCTCGGATAGTTCCTCCACCCTCCCCTCCCCGCTCGGGAATTTTATAACCTGTAGGGATGGTTTCTTGTGTCTTCCCCAGGGTGGGCTCTTCCAGCATGAATCAGCGGTGGTGGGAAGAGACTGTCATGTTTGACAGATCTCAGAAGCCCATCTGTCACCCTCCAGGAAACCCCTTCACTTATCAATTGGTCTTGTCAGTTACATGTGCAGGCATCTCCCCAGCCCTGAGAGGTGTCACCAATCTTCTCTACATGTGTCCTCCTCAGAGCTCCTGCCTGTGGCCTCGGGTGGGCTGTTCCGGGTGCCAGCTCCCAGCTGTCACTCTCTGTGGAGTGTCTTCTTCAGGTGGCGTGAATCATGTTCTGGTAAAGAATCTCCTCTCAGTGCCTATGTTGAGTTTCCTAGGGCAGTTTAGAGTTCTCTCTCTCTCTCTCTCTCTCTCTCTCTCTCTCTCTCTCCCTCCCTCCCTCCCTCCCTCCCTCCCTCCCTCCCTCCCTTCCTTCCTTCCTTCCTTTCTTTCTTTCTTTCGACAGGGTTTCTCCATGTAGCCCTGATTGTCCTGAAACTTACTCTTGAACTCACATAGATCCACCTGCCTCTGCCTCCCGAGTGGTGGGATTAAAGGTGGGTGCCATCAATGCCCAGCTACAGTTTTCTTTCTTCAGGAAAAACATGTATTCCTTTTAATGTTTTAGAGGAAAAGGTTCAGTGTTTCAAGGGCATGGTGATTGGTGCTTTCTGCCTCCCCATTGTTAGGGAAATCTGGGCACATCTAATGCACAGCAGTGTGAAGAAGGCAGCGCTTCCCGGCTACGGTGTTGATTGGATACCATTTCAGATGGGCTCCTGGAAATCGGGTCTATTTATGTAACATCTAATGGGGCTTTGGCTGGTGTTTCTCATTAATTCAGACCTTTTTTTTTAACAAAGGAAAAGAATACAGATTTCCTAGGCGTTTTGTACCTCACATCTTCTTTGATCGTTGACCTCTGTGCATCCAGCCTGGCTCTCTGTATAGTTGTGCCTGAGGCTGTGAATATTTCTTTCTTACTACACCAGCAACGCACTACAGCTTAAAGTATGTGCTTTATCAGATGGAACAATGAGGTTATCCTTTTAATATTTCTTTGGCATGATTTCTATCCTGTTTTTATTTTAGTTTTCATTTATGCACTGTGACATGTGCAAAAAGATTTAAGGAGAAGTGATTCTACAGGGAGTGAATCCGTTCATTGTAAAATTAATTTCTTAAAAACGTCAAATAAAAGTTTTAAGTGGTCACTTGCAGTTCTGTGGTTGAGGCCTTTCGTAGGTTTATAGCTATTTGTCTGCAACTAGTGTTGAGAAAATAAATGTATTCAATCACAAGCTTCTTATGCTATATCATATACTAGATGAAGTATTTTGGCCAATTCCACAGTGGTAGATAACTTTGGAGCTGAGGTATCATACTCCAACACCCAGGTTGAGTTAAGTTTCAGTGCTTACGTGGTTTTCCAACCCCAGTCTTCTGAGTGTTACGTTGTGTATATTATAAGCAGGAGTCTCTCTCTCTTTCCCCCTCCCTCTTTTCTTCCCTCTCCCTCCCTCCTTTCTTCTTTCTTTCATCCTTCCTTTCTTCTTTCATTAAAGAATACCACAGATGTCCAGAATCAACTGTAGTATTTTTAGTGGGTTGTCTTTCACTGAAAGTTGGGTTCAGCTTTTTGCTTTGTGCCCTATAGTCATTTCCAAAGTCATCCATACTTCTAAAAGAAAGAGCCAAAGACAGTAAGTTCTTGTCTATCTGGCTGCAGCTATGGGTCTCTTCTTATTTTTTCAGTGAGCTTCTGGTATGATGTACAGAAACAAGTGCTGTTTGAGAGGTTTTGGAGAAGGGCTCTGGGATAGATAAGGGAACCATCCAGCCACTCACCTCTAAAATAACTACTTATGAGCTTGTTGTTCTAGTCAAAGAAACTGTGAAATCAGAAACCCGTCCCAATATTTGATATTCAGGAACAAAAAAAAATGGAGAAGATGCAAAGACTCGTCTTAAGGCAAGTGTGATCAAGCACAGATGTTGATGCCTTCTGCACTGCAACACGCATGTTGTGAATGGCATTCACGTTTCATGGGTGACCTGTCATTCCTTCTAACTCTTTTTTTTTTTTTTTGAATCTAACTGTTAACATCTCTGGAGTCGATTTAGGTGAGTTTTTATATTTTTCACCTGACTCTGGATGGTGTGAAAATTATCCTTAGGAATTACTCCCATTGAATATGTTCCATGTTAAATGAACCCTGTAATTGCACACTTTGGAACTCTGGTTATTTTTCTTTCAGTTGGCACCGAGGATTCAGAGAATTATAGCTAAGATTGAAAGAAATACTAACTATGTTATACCACTTCTTAGTGAAGTTTTTTTTTTTTTTTTTGTTGCATCCCCTAGATGTATTTGATTTCATACAATTTACTCCTCCTAGGGTTGGGTTATTGTTCACTTAGCTTATTGCTTGTTCTCCCCTCTTGCCATTTCTGAGGCCCCTTGGGGTTTCATCTTATTCTGCTTATGTTACTCATTTATTCATTCAACAAGTGCTTAGTGAGGCTCCACAGTGGGGTGCCCATTATGACATATGTCTTCAGTGTGGGTAAGTTGATCACAATCCAAAGTAGAAATTTGAATCTCAGATACATGGTGCTTTTCGGATCGTATTTTACTCCTAAGGTTTTGTTTTCCTTTAAAACAAAATTGCAGGCCATTGTTTGGGGTGCTTCCAGGGTGCCGTTGTGATTGCAGACAATTCGCTTGGTTGGCTGTGTGGCTGTCTCTTAACCAGCTCATCCTGGGCTCTGGGTTCAGCTTTAATTTCCTGGGTCTGTAGAAAAGCACAGCACAGTGTGATCAGAGAGAGGAGAGAGAGAGAGAGAGAGAGAGAGAGAGAGAGAGAGAGAGAGAGAGAGAGAGAGAGAGAGAGAGAGAGAGAGAAATACAAAGCCTCTGGGGTGGTCATAGACAGGGCATCAGGTGCGGGCAGTTTGGCATCAGGTGCGGGCAGTTTGGCATCAGGTGCGGGCAGTGTGGAACATGGCTAGCCCTTTCTTGAAGGATGTATTAGAAAAGGCTGGAAGGGATCAGAGAGAAAAGGACTGTCCATCATGGTAAGAGCCATAAAAGCTCGGGGCATTTGCATGCCCTGCAAATCGTTCAGAAGGACAGGCTGTAGGAACGGCATAGTTATAGATGACAAAAAAGTACTACCAGTGGTCTGAACATTAAAACCCCTTCATGTAAAGCTAAGGACAATATTTTTAGAAGACATATATTTATGTGGTGTGGTATGTGTGTGTTTGAGAGAGAGAGAGTCTGTGTGTGTGAGTTTGTGCACATGTTAGAGTCCATTTGCTATGATACGTGTGTTAAAGTCAGAGGACACCTTTTGACAATCGGTTTTCTCCTTCCACTATGTGAGTCCTGGGAGGGAACTCAGGAGTTTTTACTCCTTGAACTATCTTACTAGCATGTAAGCACAATATTTTACCCAGAATGTCAATGGATCGTTTTACTATTGTAAGTATTATACACACTCAAGGGTGTGACAATAAGTTTATTGTAGAACTCGTGGCAATGTAAGGATGGGACTAAAAAGGGAGAGAAATTTGACTCTGATGTGGGATCATGAATAACAGATACTGAGTTTATGGAGTGACTCATGTAGGAAAGACGAGAAGTACAGGATCCAAGAGTTCATTCACAAAGAGGAGGCACTGGAAGCATTCTGTGAGTGACAATTGCCACAGCTGATTGGCAGGAGAGATTCATGAGAGAAATAAGACTGCAGATTCCACTGAGTGGTATTAACTTTTGTTTTAT